ATTCCAATCGACACCAGAGCTATCGACGAACATTTTCTGGACTTCCGGCGGAAAGGTCTTGTCGAGGGTGGTCTTGAAGTAAGCTCGGCGGAGCATGGAGGGCGGGATCCGCTCTTAGTCACGCGTGAGCTGGCACCACTCATAGCTGACGCTCCGAATGAATGGGCGAAGACGATCACATCCTTGCTTTCTTTGAGCAGCGGAAGGAGATACTCATGCAGCAGGCAACGACGGTCCGTCTCCGCGGTATGTGCGCTTGGGTCTGCAGGGCTGTTGCTGAAAAGTGGTGCCTGCACGGTAGGATATCCTCGTTTCTGGAGCAGCGGTACGACAAGATCACAGCATGATGGTGCGGTCAGCGCGCCGGGGGCGGAAGGATGGTGGGCGGACGGCATGGCTACTGCGAGTGGTGATCTTGACGCTTCCTGTGTACCAGGCATCTGTACACGTGGTCGGGTTGGGCAGAACTAATTGAAGCAGATACAGGTCATCAACAGCAAAATGCCTCAAACAGGGCATCCGCGAGCCAGGAGCTCGACTAGGAGAACGATACAGAAAGCGATACAGAAAGCGATGCCCTGTGGCGCGGCTTAGTGATCACTTCACTCATCCATACAAGCTTCAGCTGCCTCCAGTCTCAACAGCGGCCAAAGGATGTAGGCCTAACGTACAGCCGTCCACCATCGTCTTCCGGCATATTTCGTCGAGTATCTGCTCTTGGCTTGTCCATCCTCCCGTCTCCGCACAATCCCTCGACTCCCTCGGCTCAACGGCTCATGCGCATGGCCCAGGGACTGCGCCAGTAATTGGACTCACCTCCATCCAAGGCCGGCAGCCCTCCCTTCTCTCCACTGGCCAGTTTCGAGTTGAGCCTGCCGAGACATGCTGCCGGTGGCCGCTTTCCCAAACCCGAACAACAGCGCTCGCTGATGCGACTGCGACACATCAAGAGAGTTGGCGGTATATCATCAGCACCGCAGTATATCCAGCAACAGCCGCCAGTATCTCGAACGGTTTGTTGCCGGCCGCCAGCCACGACCAGACTGTGAACAGCGACACGGAGCCAGTAATGATACCCAGTCGATGCTTGTTCTCTTCGACGAAGTTCAGCCACCACACCGAAGCGAACAGCATGCCGAGTCCGACTACGAGAGTGATGATGCTGATGGCGGTCTCCATGCCGTGCTCACTCGTATACCGGGTGTATGGTGAGTCGATGCGATCCGGCCGCTTGCTGAGCGTGAACCTGAAACGCAGCAGCCGCAAGCGTTGCAAGAGGGTGATGAGGGGAGACTTCGGGGTGGCCAACAGTGGGAAGAGGTCGCCTTGCTGGTCTCGGAAATGCTGTTCGTCTGGATCAATCGCATTTGGATAGGTCTCAAACCAGTTCTCGATGTTCTGACACTGCCGGTCATCGGCGGTCTGTTTAGCCTTCAACTGTGAGAAAGAATTGACCAGATCGTTGTATTGCTGGAGTAGGGGGATGGCCTGCTTCAGTAAGGTCGTCCTCTTTGTGAACGGATCGTTGGAGAAGCTACCGCTCTGCCCGGTGCCTTTGGGTCGCTTCTGCGCGTATTGATCCCAATCGTCGAGGCCGCGATGGATTGCTGCGATTTCGTTCTGCAGGTAGAGAAGACATCTTGCTTGCAACGGCGAGAATCTTCGAAGGATGAAGAAGTCGTTCGCAGACGCCATCCACTTGGACAAAGCTGGGTAGCCATGATATTGCCAGGCGTAATCGACATCTTTCTCGAGATCCGAGAGCTGATCGAACGCTTGCATGTGTGCAGCAGATGTGGGAGGGGGCTACAGCAAGGTCAGTCGCTGTGTTTCCGGGCATATAGTCTACGTACCGGTGCTGGTGTGAAGGTAGATGCGGACGCTGGTGCAGCCATCCTTGAGAGACAATGAGAACGTTATGCTTGACGTTCTCGACGCCTGCTAACGATGCATAATGTAGATACCGGGTGCATTGCGCAGCGTTACACAGGCGGCAGTGTCGTAAGCGAGGTACCAGTACCTGCAAACTTGGCGAATCAACGTTCGTTGCAGGGGCGGCCTCACATCACCGTGGCATACCGGTGAACGACTGGCAAACCCCACACGAGGCAGTACGAAGGCAACGCATAGATACATCGCACCTCACACGCTCGCGGGGTGGCGCCAAACGAGGAGCGTGATAGGTCGCCGCAGTCTTTGCTCACTGCTAAGAGCAGGGTCGTGTGCTGCATCGACAGGGCGACGAGGGCGACCTCTGACTCCTCAAGTTCGAAGGCGACGAGACAGCTGAGCACCGGTCTAGCGTATAACTCCCAGCCGTCTCGACTTTTCCTGCGCAGTCTTCCCAGTCACGAATCAAGCCTTTTGAGACTGCCTTAGCACCCTCTCTTCTCAGCTGCTCCAACCCTGCCAGTACACACATCCGGTGACGAACTCCGACCTGAGCCGCCTTGGCCGCCTCTAGGGTATGTGCATAGCCACAATAGCCCTACTCATCAGCAATGCAGAAATTCAGAGCTGCAACAAATGCTGTGCTCTTCGCTAACGCCCTCGATGCCGATGGCACTTCGCGCAAAGCGGGTACGCAAGACAAACCGGCAGGGGAACGCAAGCCAACGATTCCCTTTCCACGACACCCTCTCGGTCAGGGCAGTGGTCTCGGCATGCCACAGCATGAAATGTGCCAAGTTTGTTCATTCTGCGACTTTTGCGACCCGGCTCCGCTAGCTCCTGGTTCGAGCGAGCAGCGTTGGTGCAGATGCGGAGTTGGGCTGGTCATGTATCGTGTGCCTCCGGGAGATGCCAATCATTTGTGTATCGGCTCCGGAATTGGACAAGCTCGTCAATTCGATCCGACGCCGTTCCAGTCTGAACAATGGAGGGAGGCAACTTATACTTTGACTCAACATTACGATCTTGGCTACGCCGCCTTGGGAATGCCATTCTCTCTTTCGCATACTCCGACGCCAACCCCGCCCATCTACTCCTCCTCGCCCGATCGGCAAGCATCTGAAGGGGCCGGCAGGCAATGGTCTGGCCCGCCTCAGACGCCACCGCAGTCGTACCATTTACCGCTGTCTCGAGGGGACACGGGGCTGGGTGAAGCCAGCCAGTATTACCAAGATCACCCGTACAACTCTTCGCAGGCGAGTGCATCAAACGGTCACCCGCCGTCTTCTGCGCCACATCATGATTGCCGGAGCACTTCCTATTTCGCGAGCAGTATCATCACGGAGGAGCCGGACCAGTACGGCCGTCGGTATCAGAGGAAAAGCCCGACCGATGGCTTCAGATACTGCCGTGGCAGCATGGACCGGTGAATCATCAGCAAGCATTGGGTTAAAGTGCAAGATGCTGACTGGGTACATAGTTATGGACCATGCGTCGGAGGTTGCGGCTGAAGCTAGAATGGCCCCTGTTAGCAAGACTGAAAGCCTAAAAGCATCGAAGTGGTACGTCTCTGGACCTCTCATAGACTGAGGATATGGAGCGGACTCGTCCAGCGGGTTCGGCACCGCATCATCCTGGGGCGCTGCTGAGTTTCTCGCAGGCTCACCTCCGCCCAACGCAACACCTTGAGACCGGCACGGCACAGCTCGTCTAAGCCTGCACAACCAATCGCTGCCACCAGTCGTCCGCACCTATTCCGTCGAAGACTGCAAACGAGCGCGGATCCTCGATGCGCTCCACGGCTGTCCGTGGGCTGACCCGGCCTGTGGTCAGAGCAGCTTTGGAGAACTGCAAGGCAACTTCGAGAGAGCGAGAAAGCAGACTGCCCTGTAGACACAGGAAAACACAGGAGGTAGGGCCGTCGTCTGGCTTTGTGAGGTGGAGATTGGGCTTGCTTGACGAATTGTCCCTCGGTTTCATCGAAAACAGGGTTTCGTACAGGAAGGAGATTTCCAGATAGTCAAATGTCGGCTCGGAAGCTATTTTGGAAGACCATCTGCCATCGAGTGCTGGACGATTCCGTCCCCGACGTTCACGTTCATGAGTTCTAGGTTCGCAGCGGTCCCAGGGGTCTCACACTCCCGAGGCCGAGGCCGAGGCCGGATTCTGCTCCGACATCAATCATCAATTCTTACATGTACCTTCATGTTGCTACCGTCATCTTGCTCTCCATCCTTCTGAGTTAGTCTCCTCCGTATCTCCAAGCTGAGGAAGTCCGTCACTTACAACACTTCCTGACGAGGCCTGGAGAGCTCGTTCCTGATGACTGTCATACTTGCCTTGCCATGACAGATCCGGGGTATGCAATCCTGGAACCAGCAGTGCTTGACGGATGGAAAGCTGTGCACCGGCACGGCAATTACGCATGACGTTGCCCGAAACGATGACAAGAAAGTCCCTATCACAACGGAACTCTGGAGTACTCTGAAAGACCTCGAAAAGGGCCGGTATGACGAGGCTCGGCATGCAGACGGGCACGCATGGAATCCTTACCAAGGAGTCCACAAGGCGACATTAGGCTACGGATGAGCGCACTGTGGTACGCGTCTGCCTGCCTCGAGCATGAATGTTGTTCGTTATCCGTCGATCCTGGGAGAAGGAGGTATGCAAGCGTTTGGTGTCATTTGTATTGACGGAATGTATGGCATTTCGTTTCATCGACATTTCTTCTGGGCACTACATACAGGTCCTGGATAGAGAGAAGCACGGACGATTGATATGGTCGTCAGAATTACCGCAAAGAGAAGCCCCCGACACCACTATCTTTGGGCATGAAAGTCGAGTGAAAAACACGGTAGGAGCTTGACTATGCAGACTACAGATCTGTCAACATGGATGTGCGTGGGAACCAAGAACGGTAGGAGATACGTCTTAGGATTTAGATGTGCAAAAGAAAATGTGTTACCACATCCTGTTGCTTGGCAAGATATTCGACGAGATCAATATAGAGCCTACCACTCCGGCCAAAAAGGTGTTCAAGATGCCGAAATCGGTCTTGTGCCCTGGGAGAGAAGGTCAGAATTCAACTCTTTCAAGTGTAGTTGATGTGTTGCGTACCACTCCCCGAATCGAACGAGGGATCTTCTCATTTCATTACGAGTGAGACGCTGTACCACTAAGCCAAGCGGGCGCTTTTCTTGGTATTTCTTGGCGTAGCCACACTTGACGTGTTTTTCGACTACGCCAGGGAAAGTCGAAATCTCGACATTGAAATCTTGCAGAAGCTGAAGGCAAAGTGTTTTTTATTTCCATTTATTGGCAGTTCTTAAGAGCCCGAGGAAGACCCAGTCTCCATACAGATCTGAACTACGTCAGCGGCTATTACCTTATTAGAAACTAGGGGGGGACAAGAGATAGAGGTTTAGAGCATACTTCGTTGCATCCATCAGCCTTATAGTACATGTACTTACGACCCTGAGATCTTTCCGTCTGTTCCCATTGACTGAACCCTGTGCAATTGATTGTTCCCCGATTTTGTTGACTTTGGTGAGAGCGTGGGAGCTTCCGGGCGTCAGCAGGGGGCAATCCAATGAATCAATTTGCACAAAGGGAGCTCACCCTGCTGCAAAAGATCGTTGGAACCGAGCCATGCCCGGCAGCTCCCCGCCGATTCACCAAATTGCCTCCAAAGTTCGGGCAAATGTAACGCAGTGTTAGGGTGATGTTGGTGCCAAGACCTCCTAAAGGGGAAGCCCGGCCGGACTCAACGCCGCAACTGCAGAACATCCTTGTGCGGCATCGATCTCCGAACACCACCAGCACCACCACCATCTACGGCAAAACAAGCAGTAAAACACCTCACCCACCACTATGCCTCCCAAACGTCAAATCGGCGGTACCGCTGTCGGCCGCCCGGCCCAACGAGGAGGGTACGCGCGCCAGGTCATCGGCGAGCTCACGAATCCGGAGAACAGGAGCGTTGTCACGAGTGTGGCATTCTTCGCCGTGGGCTGAATCTTGCAAAACGGAGGCCTGAAGACACAGAGCTAACGGACTTGCCAGGCGGGCGTGGCCTTCCTGCACAGCAGCTGGAGCGAGATCTTCCTACCACCGTGAGCGGCTCCTGTGCACAGCGAGGGTGGAGTTGCGGGCTGACGATGACCCTAGACTCTGAGCGACAACGGTTGAGAAGTGTACGATAGCACGGGGAGGACTATTGACGGACGTGTAAGATATGACACGGAAGCACAGCGAGGCGTTAGGGGGGTGGCTGCACCATTCTTAGTGCGGTCACGAGAATGCAAAATAGGGCACAAATGGTGACTGCAGTCGATATGGACATGGCCAGCGAACAATCGCGCGATCTACCCTCAGCAACACCTGCGAAGCTTGACCGCTCAGCTGGACATAATGTCTCACAACGTACAACAAAGGAAGCAGGGCTCGCCGGCCCTGTCCTATTCCCTGACCCAAGCGCCGATCCATCCTAGAGTATTCAAAAGTGTATCAGGCTGTATAAAGCAGAAGTGGTCGGGTATCGTGCAGCAAGTATCTCCCACAAAGAACCAGGAATCACCAAATCGCATTCTCAAGAGCAAAGCGTGAGTCGCTGAAACGCCAATCTGTGCAGAAGGATGTTAAGTGTCCCTATAATATCGCCTCCACGGCCCCCATACCCGGCCGGTCGAAATCCGGGAAGTCTGGCCAATTCCCCAACTGTGCTGGATCACCGCCGATCCGCACCCACGTCGCATGGGAAGGCACATTATTCTCGTCAAGCAAAAACATCTGGAACCAACTTGGCGGGCACACATTCGCATTCGGCGGCGCCGTCGCACGTATTTTTACTGCAGCTCGTCTCCGGAAAGTACGTTCTCTGACCCATACTGTTGCCGTGGGTACTCGAGACGGCGCCAATCAAGCTGACGCGATAGAGCCATGTGGTGCGGCGGGTGAGGTTGCTCGCTGGCTCGGCGTCTGAAGGAGTAATGGTGAAGTTTATACTCTCGCCGTAGGACCAGTCCAGGTTCGTGACGTTCATGGTCGGGCGTTGAGGGTTGCTCATCAAGTAAGGAGGGATGAAGACTTCATTGCGGTATTCCTGCGGGGCAAAGGCGCGGACGTCTTCAGGATCGGAGCCCGATACTAACACGCGGCCATCGTCGAGGAGCACGGCTTCGGAATGGTAGAGTCGGGCTACGGTCGTGTTGGCCATGACGCTCATGCGGTGATTTACTGGCTTCGTAGGGTCATAGAGCACCGCATTCAAATTTGGTCTGGTTGCCAGACCAAAACCGGCAAACCCCTGGTGCGCGCCGTTAAGGATGAGGTATGTCCCGTCCGGCAGCGCCGTCATACTCGACATCACGCGCTGGCTGGGCATGCGCTCGATAGTCCAGTTCGCGTTCGGCTCATCGGGCGCAATACTGACGCAATTGTCCAGGGCAATCTCCGGGCCGGGCGTGCTCCCACCGCAGATCAACACGCGCATGTAGTCGTCGTATGGCGCATGCTGCGGGAGCACCATACTAGTCCCCTCCATAGGGTACGTCCGGCCTCCGTCGAAATCGTTCACGGCGCCCGGGATCTTGGGCAGGACTTGTGTCGTCTGGAGGGACACGGGATCCAGGATGCGCGCCTCGTTGTAATATGCCACGAGGATTCCACCGCTCGGCAGGACCGCCAAATACGGGTACAAGTTGTAAGGGTCCGTTCGCGCCAGGTAATCGCAGTACAGTACCTCGCCGGACGGACTCGGCAGTACCTCCAGCGTAGGCACGGCAGCTCCATTCGAGCCTTTTTCACCACCCATCACCAGGATCGAGCCGTTAGCCATCGTCATGGCGGTCGGGTACCAGCGTCCATTCAGAAGCAGCACCTCGTCCGAGTTCTCCTGCCAATCGTTCTTGCCGGCGACGCCTGGCTTGCCATCAGGCCAATACAAACGGACGCCGAACGTGGCGATGTTTGCCCAGCCGCCGATATTGATCTGTCGGCCCACCTTATCCGGCAAGGTAAGGGATGCGGAGCAAAAGATGTCCGACTTGACGTGCATCTCCCTCCATGCCGCGCTGTAGTTGCTCAGCATGCTCACGTCCAGCTCGTAAGCGCCGGTTCCGTTGTTGGCTGGCGAGGTGCCGAACTTTTCGAGGTACGTCACTTTGCCATTTCGGCCTGGTGAAGTGACGAGAGGGATGACTGGGCCACCGATGAGGAACTCGTAAGCCCCCGCTGCGTCTCCGGTCGGGAAGTCCCAGTTGTAGAGGGAACCATTCGCGTTGTTCCAGGTGTAGTACGACAAGCGAGACGGCCCACCGCAAATATGTCCTCCGTTGCCAGTCATATCTGCACTGCAAATCATGTTGCAGTCAGACTCCGGCTGGAGCGTCGCACCGGCGTCGAGGACATTTTGAACGTCGCCGCAAAAGCATTGCTGCCCGTACTCGGTGCCTGCTGCGTTGTAGCCGTACTCTGCGCACAACGAAACGCAAGCGGTGTTGCTGTTGTTCTTCTCCCACACGACCTCGTATGCCAGCGTGCGGGTGTCACCAGCATCACTGAGACATCCCTGATACTCCCAGGAGCCAGGCAAGTCGGTCTTTTGCGGTATTGGAACCGTGTAGTTGCTCATCGTGCCGTTCGAGTACACACTGAGGATGCTCCCAGCGCCGCACATCTCGCCCTGATTACCAGCACACCCCATGTTACAGGTTGAGTCGGAGACTCGCGTCGCAGCGTTGCGGATGTAGTTGTCACAGAAGCACTGGGCGCTGTACTCCATCCCAGCAATGGTGTACCCAAGACCGGAGCATTCAGCAATGCAGGACTCGACCGTCATTGACTGGTTGTCCGGCTGTTGGAACGTAAAGGCACGGCCGACGTTCCCTTCAGTGTAGCAGCCTTGGTACGCAAAAGGTGCGATTACTGAGGCGTTGACCGAGCTCGAAGGCGTCGGTAGAGCCGGTGCGTTCCCACCGTACCCGCCCGCCGGCGAAGTAGCTCCTCCAGCTGCCGAAGAAGTCGTGGATGCCGCTGGTAGACCAGTGGCATTGAACTGGTACACGTTGACTCTGTCTGGACCACCACACATCTCGTCACTGTTTCCTTGGCATGGCATATTGCAGCCGACGTTTCCGTCGACGGCGGGGCCTCCGTAGTTGTGTGCGGAATTGTCGCAATAGCACTCAGAGCCATATTCTACCCCGGCCAAGGTGTAGCCGGCTTTGCTGCAAGCTGCTGTGCAAGTTTCCACGTCCACACTGGCGATGCCGTATTGCTGGTTGTTGAGCGTGCGACTGCCGACCGTGTCGTTCCAGCATCCCACATCGTACCAGCCCGTAAGCTGATATACGTTAAGGCCGTTGGGACCGCCACCTGGAGTTGAGGGAGAATCAATCAGCTATGTCTTAACGTACGGTCAATAAATTGTGTCTGCTTACAAGTCTCGTTGTTGTTGCCGTTACAAGCCATGCTACAGCGGCCGTCCGTTACCGGGACCGCATACTGGGCCAATGAATTGTCACAGTAGCTGTGCGTCCAGTCAGCCATGAGTTTGCGAGACACCATCGTCTCAGCGTAAACTCACCACTCCCCAGCATATTCCACGCCAGCGTACACATAGCCATCTGACATACATGCGCTCGTGCAAGCCTCGATGGTCATGGGAACTTCCAGATATGCCGTTTTAGAGAGAGTGCGGGATGCAGTCGAGTCGTTATAGCAGCCTTTCGAAGACCACCCACCTGGCGGAGGTGGTGCAGCTGAGACAGGTCGAGTAGTTGGAGTGATGCCGCCAAATGCATACAGATTTAGTCTGTTCCCCGCACCACAGAATTCGCTCGCGTTGCCATTACAAGGCATATTGCAATCCGTGATAGACGTGCTTGACCCGGATGGAGCGACGTGGTCATCGCAATAGCTGTCGGCCGAGTCAATTCCTGACAATACGCATTTGGATCGTTTTCTCGACCCACCATTCACCCGCATACTCGACACCGGCAAGACTCCAGTCTCCTGCTGCACAAGCAGACGTACACCCTGCGACAGTCATGTTGCTACCGCCATCTTCAATACTCATTGTATTACTGAGTGTCCTCGTCTCTCCTTCCGTCCAGCAGCCTTGCGATGCCCACCCACCCGGGCCCGGGTTTGTAAAGGGACCAAGAGGAGCCGGCTTGTTGGCGTAGTAGA